GGGGGGAGGGGGCGGGGAGGGAGAGAGGGGACCGGGAAGGGAGCGGGAGCAAGGGGCTCCTGGCTCACCTCACCGCTTTGTCTTTCTTTCTCTCTCTCTTTATTTCTCTATCTTTGTCTCTTTCTTTCTTTCTCTATCCCTGTCTTTCTCTCTCTCTCTCTCTTTCTCTCTCGTTTCCTCCGTGATTATTCGATCCTTTCGTGCCTATCGATCGCAGCGACGATCTGAAAGCCCGCCATCCTTCGTGGACGTCCGACAGACGATATCCGCGGCATCGTTGGCGACGTGGTTCTCATGGTGCCGCGGCGATCACGGTCACCAAGCGTATGATGGACGAGGAATCGCGCGGGCCCATCGATGATGCAGCGTTTTCGGTGATTTCCACGGTGATGCGACACCGTGTTCTCACAACGGCGACGGCGACGACGACGACGGATACGCGGCCACCGCTTCCAACACATTCACGCGCCAGGTTGCCCCTACGCGGCTCACGGGGTAGTTGCGTGGGATGGCTGCGTGGGATGGCTGCGTGGCCGTGTCCACCGCTGCGAGGCACTCGAGAGAACGCCGGCACACGCTCGCCGACGGACGTGTTATGTACCAGCGTTGTATACACGCCTCTTCCTATATATACATGTGTGTGTATAGATATATATGTATCTCTCTTACTCGCTCCTTTTTCTCGTGTTTCAATTTTTAATCAGATCCAGGACGACGACGGGAGGGTCGCCCTGCTTGTTCACAGCCACCGTCACCGAAGCACCCTCCCCGGTCCTCAATTTCCACCGAAGCGTTGAACTTTCTCGCCTTTCACGCGCGTTTACGTAGCCTCGGTGACACCGATGGTTGACCGATCGTCAACGTACATACGTTCCCTTCGACTCGAGCGACGCTTTCGCAACACGTCGGTTGACGTATAGAATTTTCTCTCTCGCCTCTTTTCCCTCGTCGCTTTGCTCCGCGCGCAGTGTCCTCCTGACAACCGTGTTTCCCGATGCTCGTGTGTCTCGAAGAAGCGGTTCACCGTTTCTGCACTGACGCATCGACGTCTGCTGACCGCAGCGAAGGCAACGGTTTGGATTCGGTTTGCGTCTCGTTCACAGGCGACTGGCTCCTTTCGTATAACGATGCGCCTACGCGGCCTTGTTCCGTTCCGTTTCGACCGCAACTACGGCACTGCCACCGCCTACCGATGCGTGTGTCATGTCGATAACTAAACTTCGGTTGCCTCGGATTCCGACTTCGCGATCGTTGAAACGGGCGAACCAGGCGGCTAAAGAAAGGAAAAGAAAAGAAAGAGAGGAGGGACAGCGCGTTCGCACGACCGAGCACGTCTTCCACGAAAAACGACGCACCGCCTAACGTCGACGGGATAACTGCTGGCTGCATGTGACAGCCGGCAGCTCGCACCGCTTATCCGCTACTAAGTTCAGAGTGAATTTAGCGTCGATGGTCTTACAGCGGACTGACGTCTGCCGCGCATAACTCACCACTTTTTAAGAACAATATTAATCGTTATCGTTTGCCGTTATCGCGCAATTTTCTATCGCGTTCTGATTGATCGAGAAACAGATGTTAACTCGGAGCTATTATTTCGGTTATTTTTGCAGGTATTCGGTTTCTTAGTTACGTGTATTTCGCAAGGTTCAAGGCAACAATTTTTTTTTACTTTTTAAACTTTTTTATTTAAAAAAATTTTTTTCTTGTTATACCTTACACTGATAGTTCTTAATCTTTCTAAATAGAACGTGAACTGAATTTACAGCGTTAAATTATTTTCCAAAGTCATTTGCAAATATTCTTTTAATATTTTCTTTGCGATCCTTGATTGAAATTATAGATTCTCGTCGGTAACACCTATGTATGTCAGTAAAGTTTGATTTATTTTATCAGTGAAATGTGAATTTTACAAAATTAGAACATACACATTACTAGACAAGATTCTTCAAATTGTTTAAAGTTAGATGGAACGCGAATTTTAGTTAATCTTGCGATTTATATTTACGCTTTACGCTAAGATAATTTGGAGAGCTTCAAATAACTATTATCGCACCAAACTAACGAATTTATCAAGAATATCTTTATCGCATTACTTGAATTATCTATCGGTTTACATTGGCGTAAATTATATTGCTACGACATAAATCGTGCAAACAGGCGTATTAGGTACACAAAGAATAAAGAATTACGGACTGTGTGTCGCACACGATTATCGATTTTTTCTTTTTTTTTTTTTAAGAAATATGATTTAAAACTTTAGATATAAAAATTCATATGTCTGAGCGAAACGTTTTTATACAACAAAAAACACTGGTATTAAAAAATTTACATTAAGCAAGAGTTTTATACACGTAAAGCCTTAATAATTTATTACTTAATTTTTATAATTTAAGATACTTTTATGTACATATACAAGTTTTTCTTTTTATGCCCTAAATTTCTTAAATAGCGGATGTTTATTTGCCGTGGACGAACTGGGAGCCTTTTTGTACTCGTAATAAACTGCATCATCCGCGCCAGACATTGAGGTTATGTTTCCCGCTTTGCGCACAATCTGGAATGACAGTCCAAGTGAGGTAAAATACGTGACAAACTACACAGTATTTTCTTTAGGATCTAACGTCTTACAGGTCTGGGTCCTTCTCCGGGTATCCTTTCTTCGTCCGCGTCCATGTCGCTGGCTGATAAAACTTGTTGCAACAAATGACCCTGTTCTTCTCGGGACGTGTACATCAAATCTGGTTCCTATTTTAATGATCGAGGAAATAAAATCTGAAGTAACTTTACAGAACTCAAATGACAATAAGCGATACGCACCTCTTCCATTCCTGCAAGTTTTGTAATGACTTTGTAAGCGTATCCTTGATTAACGAGAAAACGCTGTCGTTTTCTCGAGTAATTCATTTCCATTGTATCTTGCGACACCAGCGTATAAAAGAACGCGTTGTATTCCTCCGCGATGGCACCTGTAAAGAAAATTAATATTTAACATGTTTAATTGATTATATAATTAAAATAATTTTTACAAAAATATTGTACCTTTCTTAGCTCTTAAAATTCGACCTAAACGCTGCGCTTCCTGACGTCGTGAACCACCGTGCGAAGATATTTGAATCAAAACATTAGCTTCCGGTAAATCGAACGAAGTATCTGCTACTTTACTCACAAATATGGTGTTCACTTTAGTATTGAATTTGAAGTTTTGCAAAATTTGTATTCGCTCGCTCTGGAATTATTTGCATCGTTATTCTGGGATCGATAAGGCTTTCATTTTTGTATTTACACTTACTTGACTGGTGGGGCCGTAGATGTATGGTTTGTTCATTTTAATGGCATAGTGTTTCAAGGCAAAGACGTTATCTGAGAAAACAATGGTTTTATCGCCACGTCTCTCGTGATATCGTATCAAATATTGGCAGCAACGAAATTTGTTAGGATTCATTACATAAAGTAACTGCAAAATAATAAAGGAACAGCATACAAAGATTGTCAAACACATCGAATTAAATTAAATGTGTGTAATTGATTTAATGCATACCAATTTTTTGCTCATTTTGCAACCGAGATATTCCCTATAAAATTCCGGAGTCATGGGACACCAAACTTCGGCACACTGTACTCTTGCGATGAAGCCCCTTTTTTGTAATTCCAACCAGTTAGCCTCGTACAATTTAGGTCCAATCAGAAAATTAAGATCAGCAATTTTATCATCTTCTCTAAGCAATGTTGCGGTCAATCCCAATTTACAATGGGACTGAACGATTGTCAACACCCTTCTGAACATCTTTGCAGGAATCGTATGTACCTCTAAGTACATAATACACGTTGAATCATGAAGAACTACAATTTAATACAAGTTGAAAAAGTATGTTACCATCCAAAACCATTATTCCCCATTCCTGTTCTTGAAGCCATCGCATAGTTTGTTCCGCCTCCCATGAGCGTTTCTGCGTGTGAGTGATCATAGAATACGTCGTGATTAAAATTCCACAACCCATGGGCTTGTCTTTGGCCTCACTTGTGAATCGACAAATCATTGAATCATCTGCGGTCGACCACATTTTGAACTGTTGTTTCCACTGTTCTACTGACACTCCGGAATTGCACAATACCAATGCACGTTTCCGAACTGTGCAACAAGCTGTCACTCCAACTAAACTTTTGCCAGCACCGCAAGGCAAGACTATGACGCCTGATCTAGCACGCCCATTTCCGAACATTTTTCTTAAACTCTTCTCCTGGTAGGGTCTCAGCACAGCCGACGGTTTCAAGTCGATGCTAAAATACAATTTATCAACTTTTCAGATATATTTTTCTGTCTACATCGAACACAATTCTGTTATACTATTCCATTAGTTTATATATCTATATTATAGTTTATACTATTCCATTGTACTTTATATCTGGATTTACGGTATCGTTACGGAAGTCATATTCTGCCAACAAGGGATATTCCAACTCTATACATCTTTTTTGAATAATTTCAATTTTTTCCTGCAACGCAATTTTTTTATAAATATTCAACGCAATGAAAGTTTATTCGTTACAATGATTACGATGAAAATTTCATACCTGATTTACTTCGAAACTAACTGTCTTCAGTTCATGCTCTTCTTCCTCATCCTCATCTTCTTTATCCATTTTGTCGTAAAAGGTAGTTATGTCTTCAGGAACAGCAGCTGCTTCTGCTGGAACCTGATCGTTAGTCGTTTCTGTTACTTTAGTGACTCCAGTTGGAACGTTGGTCACTGCTTTTGCTCCAAACTGGCAAAAGAAGAAAATATTAATACTATATTTCATCAAAATAATTGCTATTAGTACAACCAGCATTACCTGTGGTGCTTTTGTTTTGTTCTGAACGTTTGTAATTATCTCATCTTCTACAGTATTTTTCAACCTACATTCCTGAATTACAGGGTCCTTCAGTAATTTTTGCAATACTTCTGGATACGGAGATTCAACGAAATACTTATTGTGCTTTAATACTAATTTCACCTTGCCGTATGACAATGTACACAATTTTATAAACTCTATAATTCCATCAGGAACAGTGGTTTTACTGAGTCTTTTCAAATATTCTATTATATCGTGTGTTTGAAGGCCAACACTAACAGCGGCATATAAAGAATAAGCGGTCAATTTATACTAAAAAAAGAAATTTTAATCGGTTTAGAGTTTCGTTTGATATTTGTAATTATATCTTTACCTCATGAATATGTTCAGGACGACACACTGGCTCTGAGATAGCAATTAAAAAGTCATGAGCGTGTTTATATACAGGTGAAAAAGATTCCAAAAAAATATGACCATTTGGTGCCTAAAAAAGTTTACATAACAGCAATAATTTAAAACATAGGATTATAAGAAATCAATTTACATTAAAATTAGCATTACCACCCAAAGCGGCCTTAAAACACAATCAGGCTTTAAAACCATTTGTGCTCGATAATCCTTTGCACCAAATTCATCTTCTAATGCTGTATCATCCTGCTTTTCAACATCGTTCTTGGCTGCATCAGGTATTCCTTCAGTTTCATTGTCGTCTAAAGTATCATCATCATTATATTCTTCTGGATCCTCTTTACGTTTTTTCCATTTACCTCTGTCTGTAAAAATAAATGACAGCTATTGTACATAACGTCGAATAATTTGTAATAAAAATGATCTCTTTAAAATGATTTTGAATAATTTCAATTGATTTCAATTTATTCAAATTATTTCAGTTTATAGGTAAAAATTGCAAAATTTTTTGTGGAAAAAGAAAGTAACTTCATACCATTGTCTTTTTTGAAACGTTTTGGCGGACCCATTGTTAATTAGCAACTTAATTGTTGGATTGTAAATAGTCTCTTTTAACGTTGACTATTATTATCTTTCATTTATTTATCATTTAAATAAAAATTTTGTACACTAACAATACTCGCATGTACAATCTACTGTTCATAGTGTATACTACGTACTGTACATTTAATTGTTTCCATGATAGTAGGCAGAGAACCTAAAACGTGTATGCAGTCGAGAAAATGATTAACCATAGACAAAATATCACATAGATGTAGCATGTGATGCAACTTTTCGTTACAGTGGATAGATGGCATGTTACGTTAGATAGATGAAAATTAAAGTACTTAAAATCTTTAGTAAGAACTTTTAAGATTATAAATAATCATTTTAGAATGATTAGTATGATGTTTTTCACAAAGTGTGTTATACTTTCAACTTTTAAATAAAGAAAAATATTTATATCATTATTATTCTATCATTGACTCTTGAATGACAACCACTGAATAACTTGATATTTTACAACTATGAAAATTGATAAACTTTATATTTGCTATACTGTTGTTGTTAGAAGTTTAAGAAAAACATAATTTTCCTGTATCAGAAAAATGTTTTTTATTGATAAAACTAGTAAAAAAATATAAGGTCGAATTTTACAAATCGTGATGCGATAATTAATTATTTATATTTTTGCAAGAAGAAACAGTGCAGTTTGTATCAAGAGTTTTCTTATTGAGTAGGCCCAAAGAAAAAAGACAAACTAAAGCAGCACCTTGTTCCGCCCATTTTTTATTTTTTTCCCTAGAATAAGTCGAGACACGTTTTAAAACACAATTATATAATATAAGATAATGTAACATAACATATAATTCTATCGATTACCAAAATGAAGATCCATATTTTCGTCCATCGACGGTAACGATGGATCGAAATAATTTTCCCTCTGGCTGCGTATTATAATTTGGCATTTTTTTCCTTCGAGTCTGCGTCCATTTGTGTAATATAGTTTTTGGTAATTCCAGATCTGTTACATAGTTGTTTCTTAAGAACGCACAATGCATTAAAATTACGTCTTCTTCCTCTGAAATCTTTCTTTTATTAGAAGGCTGTCCCTCATTCTGTTTCTCATCTTCTCTCATAGGTGAGACTTGAGATCTTCCCAATAAACCTTTCTCTCCAAATTCTTTTTTCTTCAATCGGCAATAATCACTTAAATCCCATAAATCACTAGAACAAGATATTAGTCAATCTCGTGATAAATGTCGTCACAGTTACTTTAATAATATAAATCCTACCATATTTGCTCCAAGGTTTGAGAATTAAGGAACTTCCTGCCTAATGTTGACTCCTGTTGATCCCTAAGTATATTCTGTATACAGTACTTAGTATTGGAAGGTGGGTTATCACAATCCACGGCATACTTTAGATATGATTTTATCACATCTTCCATGGGTAGTAAACCTTCTTTACTAAATATTGAACAGTTCCATTCAGCTGCACGCGCAAGCATCACACTGTTGCATCCTGTTATTTCCTTGAATCTGCAAATAAATAACTACAATTTTCTTTAAATATCATACACAATATATATGTTACCAACATGACAATATATCTTACTTGGAAATATCAGAATATTTCTGTATTTCTTTTGACCCTCCATTTGCTATAACTGGTATAGACAGTTGTTCGGAAACTTTTCTCAAGACCTCGTTATGATTCATATGTTGCGGTCTTTCATTAACGGTACGACCATGAACTGCAATTGCTGATATACCGGTTGATTGTAGAAGCTCGCAGAGTTCCAAAGTTTTATCCAAATCTGGCAATACACGAATTTTGCAAGTTACAGGGATGCTCAAATTGTCTACTAGAGTCTTCAAGATGTTCACAGCTATCTCTGGTTCTTTCAGGAGGGCTGCACCCATTTTTCCTACCAAGGAAAATAACTTAGGACAACCCATGTTCAAATCAATCCCGGCAACATCTTGCTCCACCATTTTGGCCACTTTCAACGCTCTTGTTGCATCACAAGTGCCAATTTGCAAAACTACTTTGTCTCTCTCTCTAAGACACGTTCGGAAAGTCACTGTACCATCTGTTTTATCAATGTAATCGACCGTCCCTAAAACGTCTAAAGAGAAATTAATAGAAGCAACCTGGTCAATATTCTAAGCCAAATAAATTCCAATGAACATTGTATGCAATACTAACATTTTCTTACCGTTTTCACGACGAAATGACCGTAATAATTTCCAGTCTATTAACTCTTCTGTGTACACTATATCAGCACCATAGTCAAGCGCAAGAAGACGCATTGGAAGGGTACCAATTCGTACCATAGGCGCTAATATAAGCTTATTCTCGTAATTCAATCTCTTTCTTTCCATGCTTATACCTGTCTTTTCGTTCATTTTATTGTCAGTATGTTACCTTTATCGTGACGAGCTAAGGCGTTTGCAACGATTCTCATAATTTCTCATATTGGCATTTCTGTGGACACATTTTCAAGATGAAAATATTTTCTCCTTCCGACATTTCAATTGTAAAAAATTAAGCAACTTTTTATGTGTTCTTTTATGTGATTTTTATGTGTTACTGCCACGCACGTTGTCCCTTTTTTTTTTGACAACGACACATGTGGCATTGCTTTAGGATTACTCAGGCTAGATGGCGGTCCCATTGTGTTTACTGTACTCATGCGGATCGTTATCACCATAAGAACTTCATACTCTATGTCCGATCATTACAGTGTACACTTTCAAATTTGAACACTAAAATCGATCAACTGTCAAACAATACGGTTTTAAGCCGAGGAGTAATATGGTATACTCTTTCGATTGTTTCACTAATTTAGCGACTGATAAATCGCTAAAAATCATCGTCGTGTGCGAATTATATACGTGAGGGATCGGTAATCGTGGCGATCGGATAACAGACAAAGGAAGCTTTGATAATGTTTACACCGTTGAAGCCCACAGGGGCAGATTTCACCGATGTGACGATCTTAAATACACCTCAACCACAAGCAACTTCAACTGTGCAGAGGAAAAGCACGTGAGTTCATCCTATCTACAAGTTTCAAGCCTGATAGTCTTTGAACAATAGAATAATTTAACTTAATTCAACGTACAGTGTAACTTAAATGATGATGACGCGTTGTCTAAAAGAAAGGAACAACTTTTTTTAGATTGGAAAGCAAAGTTCTTGACAAGGATATTGAAGAAACTGTTTCCAAACAACTTATGACAGATAAAAATGACAGGACACAGAGGTTCAACGAATCGTCACTTGGGATAATTAAGAACATGTCTTCCTGTGAGCTTTTTATTATGTTCTTTTATGTACTATTACTGTGGTAACCTTGGTAAATAACGAGTCTTTATAGTTTTAGCTGAAGTAAGTGGAATAGAGGAGGTAAAAGTTACGCAAGATGAAAGTAAATTGGACAAGGAACTTGAACTTGCTAGGAAACTGCTTCAAAGGTGTAGCAACATAAAAAGTACATCAATTACGTGTGGTAAAAACCTTAATTTTCTAATTGTAATTCTCTCTTTGTAAGTAAATATTTAATGTGATTTTTGATTATTACAGATACGAACAAAGAAAACAATACAAACGTTCAAAACATATCGAGTAATCTTACTCCTTCGACGTTAATTGATTCTGCTCAATTAATTAGCTCCAGTCAAATTAATCCTCAGAACGAAAGTACTGCTCCAATTACCAATAAAACAAACAGCGTAAGTAAAACTTTTTATCAAGAATTGATTCGAACAAGTATTTCAAATATTTCATGTGTAGATTGTTTTCGAGCCAAATGAGATCACTGCCCGTTCATCTGGATTAAGTAGACGTTCGGAAAAACACTTGTCATCGTCGGTAGCATCAAGTAAAAATTTAAACCAGATAACATTTGATACAGCGACTGCTGAATTTATGGCTAAGTTCAGTAATGAAGATTTTCGTTCTGCTTCTGACATGGCCAGTCAAATGCTAGCTGATGAAATGTCTTGGCAACAGAATTATTCCTATGCACTTCCTACAACAGCTGCTGCTGAAAACGATTACTTGAACCTGTCTTGCTTTTCTGGCATTACCGGCGAGCAAGATTTATTGATCGAGTAAGCACGGATTACGAATATTTTACATCTCAAATATAATACGATCAATTTTTCATTAGGGGGCGCAAAGTGTCTGTGAGCGAATATTTTATGAGAAAGTGTGGACATTTCGGAGAATTGTCGGATGCAGGGATAGAAAGGCCGAGTTTGGGTTTGTCCGTAAACAGCCCGCCTAGAAAAAATCAACCTGTGCCTTTGGTTGATTCAACTTGCACCTCTGCAGCAGGAGGTTATTATTTGCATTTGTTGAGACAAATTTTTTGTGCATCTAAAAGGTTATTCTTTTACATAGATTCTTCAATTGGATCCAGCGTCATGAAGGATAAAACTCAAAGTATTCCGAATATATCGAAGGACATAGAGGAGCAAAGTGTTATGAGTTTGACGAGTATTGCTCAAGCGCTACAGGACATTGATAATGGTACACCGCGGAGATTGGTGGATCAATTGATCATGGCAAAGAAAAAAAAGAAGTCAGCGCAAGTGCAGAATGAAAATATGATTGGACATACTTGCACACTGTTGTCCTTAAACAGAAAATCCATGCCTGCTACTCCAAGTAGTAATATTGATGATTTTGGAAAGAATATGAGATTGCTGAATTATTCAACAAAATTGTCTCTCGATAGTAAAATGACCAACGAATCTATAGATGTTAAACACTCTATTCCAAGGGTACTGTCTGATTTTAACTCGGATGCGAAAATAAATTTTGAGACCATTTCTCAAGAGCTTAAGAAAGAAATGAGCATTGAAAGTCGCAGTTCGAAAATTAATGCGATTATTCACGAGGAAAAGTCTGTTGATCTCGAAAAGGAGGAAATAGGACAGAAGGAAAATATAAAAGTAGAAAATGTTTCGTATAAAGATAAATCAGAAAGTCACATACAAGACTTTCCGAATTTGCAGGAGTCTTATGTCAATAGTACGATGTTATAACAGAATAAGTATACAATCCTTCATATTTATTCTTTTTATAAGTTATTAATCTTTATTTCTTGCAGATGTCGTTATTGGTAAAAATACGGAAGAACTATGTAGCTGTATCGTTGGTATATCTAGAGAAGTTAACATCGAACTATTAAATAAAAGTAACAGATGGGTCATTTATGCGTTAAGTATAAATCAAATTCAGGGGGACAAGCATAATGTACGACTTACACTGCCGAAAGATGTTATTCTTATAAAACCAAATGCAGAACAATATACTAAGGTAAAGAAAGAAGATTACGAATTTACAATAATATAAAAATTAAAGTGCAATTATTTCAGATTAGCGTGAAAGTGCTAAAAATGTGCAAACCAATCATAACAGTTTTAAACATAACAGTGTCAGACATGGTAACAAGAATCGAATGGATTATTAAGCATATTATTTGCATCAAACCTGAGGAAGTCGATATAAGCGTGTCAAATCTTTCTCAAAAAAAGGAATTGGACTTTCAATGTATTGCCGAAAACAGTACTGCGATTTTGCCTATTACGATAAAAAATAAGAACAGCGTCGATGTTCCTATTAAACTTTCTATACTAAAGGTGATAATTCCATCTAATTAATCTCACATGAATTTATTTTCATGTCTTCTATTTCTTTTTTTCTTTTTTTTTTCTTTTCTTTAATGAAATGTAGAATGAACTAGCGATATTTAGCTTAGAAAATTCAGAAGAATTACAACATGTTACACTTAAATCTCAAGAACTGCGCTCTATAAGTGTTCAGTGTAAAGGTATCATGCAAAAAAGTACTGACACGCAGCAACGACCTTTACAACGTCATGCCGGTACATTGATAATTGAAGCTGGAAATACTTCAGAGGATAACGTGATAATCCAGGAAATTCCTCTCATTGTGCAAGTAGGAATTTACAAGATACAAACGATTGATACAGATTTACCTTTGGTTGTCTCTCATAAACAAAGCAAATCCTTGTCAGTGATTAATCTTGGAACGATACCGACGCTAATATCAGCCTCGTTTGTTCAAGAAATTGAAGTAACAGACATTTCGAAATATTTCTCAGTGGAACCAGAAAATTTACTCGTGCAACCGAACGAAATTGGCTGCTTTTTTGTTACATACAAACAACAAGTGCCGGACATCTCTAAAATGTGAGAGGATTATTTTATAAACCTACTACAAAATATTATAAATCGTTTTTCATTTATTTATTTATATTTACAGGCACGCAAGGATTAAATTAACCACTGTTGAGAATGCCCACTACTACTCTATAATCGGAGAATCAAGCTTACATACTGAGGCAGAAAATGAAAATATTGCTCGGTGTGACACACCGCAGTATTTACCATCTATTAGTTCCCCATCGTCTCCACACAGCGTAGTTTCAAACAAGTAAATTTAACATTAATCATTAATACATTATAATTTTTCCAAAATTTTACCCATTGATACTTTGTGCGCGATACTTTATGATAGATCAGGTATATCTGGTAGAAACTCGCCTCTTAGCTCGGTGTCTGGTTCAACTGTTGCCGGCGATAAAATTCCTATAAGAACGACTCACGCTGCTTTGATATGGAATAGCGTGAAAACAGGGAAATCGGAAATCAAGGAGTTCACTATTCGTAATACCAGCAACAACAAGATCAAGATACAAGCTATCATATCGGACAGTGAACAAAATTTTCGGGTAATATTTTTCATCCTCTGTATAATTATTTATTATTTATTATTTTATAAACTATGTTTTTTTTGAATTGTTCTAATTCTTCCAGTTCCTTCGAGAACGACAAGCCGTTGGTACGACGATTGTGTTGGCTCTGCAAGGTTCAGAGAGTAGGACATTGTCTGTTGTATTCAGTCCTCATCACATAGGTGCAGCTATTGGGAAAATAATGTTTCGACATTATGAGCCAAAAAGAGAAGGTGCTGTGTCTGGACCTTCGAGAGTGGTAAATAATGTGACGTCACGTGTTGAAATTCTTGCAGCTAATTAATTATTTGAATCAATTTGTACTGTGTTATTTGTAGCTATTCCTATACGGTTATGGGGGCTATAGCAAAGTTGAAATTTCAGAAGCATTTAAAGATCCAAGTGGAAAAATGTGGTTATCGCTTGGTATTTTAAATTCTGGAAGCTCTCTGAATGCAAAAATCAAACTGCAAAATATTGGAGATTTGTGTTCCTATGTTAAAATAAAGCTAACACCTAAAGGTATCTTATATGAATTACATATGAACAATCACTTAATTTCTCAATTCACTGAATTTCTCAATAATTCTAGCTGTGTATCCTACTATGGCATTGAGTTGGCAAGTAAATCCAACTGAATTGTTGCTAAACCCCAAAGAGGTTCAGTGGGTAACTTTAGAATTCCATCCCCGAAAGGAGGACTTAATGTTACTACAACGATCTAATGTATCACATGCTGGGACCTTGTTAATCACCCATGGAGATGAACCTACTCGTTGGCGAATTCGTAGGTGAGTAGTGATAAATTTACAAATATAATTATCCTACTCTAAGTTGTAATTAAATCTTCAGATTGTATAATAAAATGAAAGAAACGGGCGAGTTGAGCGGTAGTGAAAATGAAACTTTCAGAAACATAGTTCATCCATTATGTAAAGTCTTTTCTGGAGAACACTTAATATCGGACATAAGTGCCATACGAGATTCAGTGGTAAGTAACAAAGAGTTTAATAATTTGATCGATTGTTGAACTATTTATAAAACTGTGATTCAGCTAAATCTCGGAGATCTTTGTCGAGGGATTCGTCAACATGAAATAATGTTAACGGTGGAAATGTGCGCCGACGAAACTCTGTCTGTCCTTCATGACAATGTCGACGAATCGCAGATGTTTCATTCTCTTTGTAGCGATAATAGTCATATGTACGAAGGAAATTCCGAGAGTTTCATGCCTTCAGAGTGAGTGTATAATAAATAATTCGAATGACATTTAATAAAACATCAATTAAATTAAAAATTAAACTGATATTCAATTAAAAACTTCTTCAGGACTTCTTTAGGAAATAGTACACTCCAAAATGATCTCAATACAGATACTAGTTTTATGGTTAGCCCATCCGTCATAGTCTTAAATCCACCGATTAGAATGGAAGCGATTGTAACGTTAAGAAGTTCCTGTACCGTGGCAGAACCGTTCGAAACTACTTTGTCAAATACAGATTACTTAAAAGTTGTTCCTGCCGAGGGAATGATACCCACAAGAAGAGACTTTCAACTGAAAATACAGTGTAAACGAAAGGTCGAACGAAACTTCAGTGCAGTTCTTGAAATTTTAACCGAGAACAGAAAGTACGATGTACAAATAAGAGTGATTGTTAAATAATTGTAAATTAATCTTTTTTATTGAAATATTTATTATACAAAACACGTTATGGCTTTTTAATTTTTATACGGACAGTATTTTTACTATCAATAAATTAATTTTCAACGAATTTCCTACTTGTTCATGTACTGCCTTAAGATATTGTAATGTACAGTGTTGATCTTAAACTCTACGTTGTACTGCGACTGAAGTGCCTGTATTATTTGAACCATATTCCTCACGTCGTTTATACCAGAGTGCAGTGTTCCGATTAATGGGAGATTGATATGTGAGAGCATGTCTGACAAGTTTCGTGGATAATAATCTGTCGCATCACAAACGATATTTTTCAAGTTTATCCACTTCATGAATTGCTTGGGCAGAGGTACATTTTCCAACTCGCACTGTTTTGGCAACATGTGCTTCAAGTCCCAGTCACCGCACGTGACGAACGTGGAATCGTTCCCGTCTTTGAAATATTTGTGTTCTTCTAGCCAGTCGCAAAACTTTTCAAACACCTCTGGAAAGTGGGGTTGATTTTCTACCATATCCTGCATGATTCCGGTAAGCTCTGTACAAAACGGATTGAGCTGGGGATGATGTTTTGGCTTGATATACTCGTGAAAGACGTTCTCTACCTCCCAACTTGTCGTGGACACCGCTGCGCAAGGAAGTTCAATAATTTCCTGAGGATCAATCTTTTCATACTTCTTGCAAGTGCATTCAAAGTCCAGTACGAGCAAATAGTTGAAAGGTTGCTTGATTTCTTTGCTCCCTTTGTAAATCGATCGGGGATATTTCGTGAGAAGTCGTTTCGCCATTATTCTATGGAACTGTCTTTTCAAAAAGGACAGTTACCAAAATTAACTAAGTAAGGTTAGGACGCTTATTTTGTACATCAGATGACATCAGAGCGTCGCCATATTTGATACACACACGTGATAGAGACCACTTGCGATGCTCGCAATGCGCCACATCGTGGAAATACGAATTACTTACCGTAACTCGAATTATTATTATTTCAAACCATTCGAATTACGTAAATGTAAATCCTAGGATTTTCGAGTCTTTGAAGTTTAACGAAGGATCGACAGCACCGTTGCACCGAGTAATAATATCACTGATACGACAGTGTATCGAGCAAACTATAAAACGAAACGAAATCATGAAATTAATAATCTATAACCTGGCCAAGTTTTTTCAATCGATTAAGCAACGCGTCGCCCCTTTTAATTATATTCTGATAGATCAATTCCCGATCGCAAGAAACATCGGGCGCTTGCCCTCTATTGCACCCGATGGCGCTGATGGTAACAATCGTCCCAGCCACCTTATCGATTTTACAATGCAATTTACCATTGGCGATAAAACGCGCCACCTCTTGCTCTATATACTCTTCCGTTACGCCGAACTCTGTCGCCATTCTGCTCAAATTAATGGTCCTGTATGCTCGCAGTAGCTGACTGTACGCCTTCAAACGCATCTCCCTCACGTAATAGCGACAATGGAGGTGGAGCAAAGGATTCGCCCTGAGCTCGTGCTCTATCCAAGCGAGATTCTCGAAGAATTCCTTGTAATGGCAATCGTGAAGGGAGTAAAAGTACTGCCTGTACTTGGGAGTCTCGGTGATCAGAGCCTGTTGCAGGAGGCCGTTGTTATTGAACTGAGAATCAAGCTCCGACCGAGACAAGGAGATCATCCCCGACAGCACGGTGTACTCCACGACCTCTCTGAAAGGCAATAGTTCGTAGGATTCGAAGGTGGGGATGCAGTCGAGCAAAAGGCGCGCGGCGCGAGCAAAGTTCCGTATCGCCAGATAATAAACGGTTTCGTATACTTTCAGCTTGTTGCGGCAACACCAGTTGCTGCCCGACGCGCAAGATCCTTCCATCAAGTCTGTTATCTTGACGATCGTCCGGCCCATCGAGTGAACATTATTTTTGATATACGCTGTCCTGAACAAGCCGAACGCAGCCTCGATTCTGACGCTGGACGAGTTTGTCTCGTCGTTTATGACGGCGTTCGCGATGCTCTCGGCGCGATCGAGATCGCCGGTTTCACAGAAAAATTCTAATTTCTCTTTCCAATTTTTCCTCTCACTGTCCTCGAGACTAGAACTGTCGCAGGACTCTATCTCCTTCCAAGTGATCTCGTTCTCATGCTTCATCCTATTCAAGAGATCTTCGTCGACTTTCCAGTCGAACTCCTTGCACACGTCTTCGTAGTGGCGAGTCATGTTTCTGCGTTTTATCGCGTCGAGTAACTCAGCCTTTAAGCTTTCGTCGTTTCGGTACTTCTGCAAAGTCAATTTGAATCGGATCTTGATGAGTAATACGTATTCGGGAGTTGTGTGACACAATTCTAAATTACTCATGATTCTTATTGTTATTGCTCATTGGCACGATAAATATTATACGACTTTCGGATACGCGGATACGATAGTTTTTTGTTTTTCAATTTACATTAAAAACAAAACTTTTCATTAAATGCAAAGCGATTTGAACTGTCAACGTACGTTTCCCACGATACGTTCGACCAATTAGCACGCGACTGACAGTTCGACCAATCAACGCGCGTTGTTCAAAAGAAGGAAAATGGCGCATTTTTGTTGCCGGCGTCAGTCTCGATTCTAACCTCTTTTACAACATTTTTTCGAAGTTTGTTGAACGTGAATTCGAATTACAAGAATTACAAACTATGACAGAGAAACCCATCCAATCTACCAATTTACCATGGTGAAGTTTACATCATTTAAAATCGGATTTTAAAAATAATTGAATAAATACAAACGTTGTTATTTTGTTCTTTTAGGGTAGAAAAATATCGGCCGAAGAAACTAGATGATTTGATATCTCACGAGGAAATCATCCAAACTAGTCAGTATAGATGCGAATTCAATGATTTTGCAAAAATGTGTAACAATCGAACGTTTACCAGATCAATATCAATATTTTTATTGCAGTAAATAAATTCATAGATGAAAATCAACTTCCTCATCTTCTTTTCTATGGACCCCCTGGTACAGGGAAAACGAGTACAATACTTGCTTGTGCACGCAAATTGTACGCGCCAGCTCAGTTTAATTCAATGGTTTGATACACATATCGGTTTTTATTTTATATAACTGATGATCGTTTATATACAACGTTCTCTTTTATGTATAGGTATTAGAAATGAATGCTTCAGATGACAGAGGTATCAATATAGTTAGAGGACAGATTCTTAGTTTCGCAAGCACAGGAACAATGTACAAGTCTGGTTTTAAATTAATCATCCTCGATGAAGCTGATGCCATGACAAAGGATGCCCAGAATGCTCTTAGAAGGAGTAAGTTGCGATATGAACAATCTTCAACCACGGAAGACACGTTACTATTAAAATATTGTTTCAGTAATAGAGAAGTACACAGACAATGTAAGGTTTTGTATCATATGTAACTACCTTAGTCAGATTATTCCTGCACTTCAATCTCGGTGCACTAAATTTAGGTTTGGCCCGTTGTCTACGGACCAGATTTTGCCAAGACTGGATATCATTATCAAAGAAGAAAAGTAAGTGTATAAATTACAGAGGACTGTTACATGTATTAACAACATTTTACATGTGCTTTAGTTTAAATGTTTCGGAAGATGGAAAGCAAGCATTGATAACGCTGAGCGGAGGTGATATGAGGAAAGTTTTGAATGTTCTCCAAAGTACATGGCTTGCTTTCAGTGCAGTCACAGAAGAAAATGTTTACTCCTGTGTTGGACATCCTCTTCCGATTGATATACAAAACATTGTTAATTGGTTATTGAACGAATCATATGAGTTGTGTTATTGTAGTATCCTTTTCATCTAATTAACTTTAATCATCGATTTTCAAATTACAATTTCTTTAACACATGTTTAGAGATACAAGACATGAAGCTGAGAAAAGGCCTGGCGTTGCAGGATATATTAACAGAACTCCATTTGTTTGTAAATAAAAGTATGTCTCTTATAAATTTCGTGAAAAAATATAAGAAAGATATTAGTCTAATTGTTTCGTTCTAGTTGAACTACCAGATTCGATACTTATCAATTTAATAATTAAACTGGCCGAAATAGAGAAGAGGATATCTATCGGCTGTAGCGAAATGGTACAATTAAATGCTCTTGTTTCAGCGTTTCAAAGTGTTCGCAATATCGAGACTTCTTAGCGTTTGAGGATCGAATTTTATAAATCGAGGTAAAATCGAATTCCAATTATTATACATGAAGGGTTTTATAATAAAGCTTAATCTAGCAAAAATGTAATATTCATTATTGTTACTGTGTAATAAAGAAAAGATCGATATTTTTAAACTGTAGATGTGATGCAGCGGATTCCTCCTCGTGTCCACCTAGTTCTTTAATTCTCTAATAAATTACGTTCTTTCGTGACTGGTATCAAAGTGGCGAATCTCTGAAAATAAGTTGTCAAAGTCTACGTCACAAATCAGCCGAATCATCTGAGCGAGTTGTTTGTGGCGCTCGTAAATTTTTATCCGATCCCAGCCAAGTGTAATCTTGATCATCGATGTGTATAGAACAGCTATAAAGAAAACTTATCCCGGAAATGATAAGTTTCCCTCGGACACAGCTGACAGTCGTACTGTCTACGTGTGTTCGACGCAATAACTCTGTAGCTATATGCGACAAATATCGCTCAATCAGCACGCGATCATTCAAGTATGCCGACGAAAACACATCCAAGGTACAAACATGCAGTGTCATTATTTTTTGCATTAGGGTCATTCACTAGGAAGTTATATCACGGTAGTTAACCTCAAACTATAATATAATGAAAAATCTTTGAACTACACATTCAGAATCACGTCCAGAGAAAATGAACATTAAGATGAAGCATTTTCCAGTTAAGACTTGTGTGCTGTCATTTATACCAGTGTCGTGGAACGTTTTATCATCCTTTGATCGTTTCATTATCGCGTTACGAAATATTTTCCAACTTTTGCCGTAATTTCGAAGAGAATTTCCACTCGAATAAGTAGAACTAGTAGACTATAATTGCTCCCTTCGTTTAATTAGTTGGTACAATAACAACGTATGTCAGAGAAGTTTGATGAAATTAAACGATATAAAGGGACATTAATCATTCGATTACCATTAATGAATATGTATCGAAAAACTAGTGCGGTTTTGCGTCAGCGCTCAATTTATAACATCGCTGTCACGTGTTAATGCGTTGTACATTTATTGTTACAGCCGCGAATGGAGAGACTGTTTGCATGTATCGAAAGCGAGGCGAAACCACTGAAATCATTCTAGTGAAAGTAGAATAACCAGAAACTGAACCAGCATGCTACCAAGCCTCCTTTCTTTTTTCCTTTCATCCTTCGTTATGGAATTTCTCGCAGAGTGCAGTGGATGCAGGTTCCTCAAACAGTTCCAAGCATTATTTTATTTAATAAATTTTTTAATCGATTTTTTTTATCGAAAACAAACTGAAATGGAATTTGATGGTTTTATTATTTCAGATGAGATCGGCGAATGTCGCAGGATTGTATATGTTTATTGGAATTGCGATTTAATAATTAATAATCAATAATCACAAAGAGAGCATGAATTTTAACTCGAAGTTTCACTTACTATTCCGCTCTCATGCTACGTGTAAACTGTGCAGCGCTGACCTTGTTACATACTTCCTTTACACGAAGGAGGATCATGCTTCGATTTTCTTCAATTTTCATTGGTTCCTGGAAATTTCTACCAAATTAGCGCGCGACGCTATCCCTTCTTTTTTATTCGTGTTCGTTAAAACGAAAAAAAAAAAAGAAAAACGATTCCAGTGCCTGTAATTTGTATTTTCTCCCATGCAAACTATCGAAATATTTCAACTGCAGGGCCCCGACCGGTAGACTGCAGATTTATCGACGGGAAAACAAGCAGTATACACAACTGTAAAGAGCAATGTGTGCGCGACAGCACGTAACGAATTTCCGTGAATCGACCTAACCTAACCTAACTTTGTATTTTATATTGGCGGAAATCGTTCGGCGCGGGCGAAATTCGACCAGACAGTGGGCGAACGAATTGATAATTAAATAATACTCATACTCGATACCAAATGAAACTTTCAGCTTAATAAGAACTTTCCTGGGGTGAGTGCACGAGCGCCCTTGCTAGCACGTCGATTCTCCGAGTTATTTCAGCTTGAAAACTTGGCGCAGACGTGCCCTTAACTTTCTGCTTCGAAATAACTAATTCAATTAGTATATCAGTGTTGCTACGTACCCTCCCCTCCTACGTTTAACTACATCTTTGCATGGTGTGTCTAATCTTCGCGCTAACTCCTGCATTGCTAATCTTCTTCGTCGGGGAATCCACTATTCTCATTATTTTTTTTTCCCTCTGGTTTTTCTCTCGCTTTGCGTGTGACTGG